AGCACAGCCCTGCACTCTGTAGGCATGGGTCAGGTGAGCATTGTGACTAACAATGGCAGCCACAGTTGCCCTTACTGACATCCATTAGCAATCATTAACTGTTTCAGAAATGGTCATTAAGTTTATGATACAATGACAATTGTGAAATGTTCTTGTTGCTTTAGTATCCAGCATGGTTGGAAGAAAATAGAGCCTCATTGCCATCAGACGAACTTGACCGTTGTAGAAAACAGTACGATCTGGTGTGTGAAGTTTGTTCAGAGTATGATGCTGAAACTTCAGTTGATTCTGATGAAGTCAAGAAAAAGCGATTCGAGAAACTTCTTAGTCTTATGCAACAGGTACCTGCCATTAAGGCTGCTAAAAATGATTGCTTAAAGGAGCTACGTCACGGTTTACGCATCTTGAAAAGTTTAGCCTAATTTTTTTAGTTCGTCATTTGTAATCCGTGTAAATCTTCTCCTTCTTAACCACCCTTGTTCCTTTATGGTTTATTATTATCACTTTACTGTTTTTCTATCTTAGTTAAACTACTATTTTCAGGATTCCTTCATTTTTAAGGTAATTCTGTATGTGGCCAAAAGAACTCAAAATGTCATGACTGACCTCTTTTAATCTGTGGGTCCTCTGTGTGCTGTTGTACCAAAGTACAGTAACATTTGCGTCAAGCCAGTGACCCAAACAGATGGAGCTTATCCCGGTTTCTGTATCATGAAGCAACTAGGTGCATTTCTACTCCCCCCTGGATGACATGCTAGTCCATTTATACACTCTCTGGTGGAGAGAGGCACTGTGAGAGTAAAGTGTCTTGCATAAGAACACAACGTAATGTCCCCAGCCAAGGGTTGAACCTGAACTGCCTGATCCGTAGTCTCCTTCGCAGCCGTTTTTTGGGATGTCATGCAACGCTCCCCCCAACGCAATGCTCCTCCTTTGGGGGGAGCGTTGCGTGACATCCCAAAAAACGGCTGCGAAGGAGACTACCAGATCCGAAGACTAGCATGTTAACCATTAGAACACTGCACTTTATAACCCTTGATTGGGCATTCTTTTTGTACTATCAGGATTTTGCTATATTTAGGGGTATGTTAATGATTAGATTTTATTTGATATATGGTGTAGTGCTAAAATTGGAGTTCGAGAACTGGTCTCTGAATCTTGAAAAGTTTGAATCAAGTGTTGGTCTTAAATAATTTTTAGTTACAATCTGCTGTCAGATTTACAATCTTGACACTGAAGCCTTATTTCTGCAGTTTATCAAGTCAAATTGTTTTATTTATATATACAAAAAAGTCACATAAATGCTATTATTATGTAACCAGCCAGACATACTTCTCATTTTGGACAAATTTGTTAAACTTTTAGATGCAAGAATGTGGACAACCACCAGCAGATCTTGTTGGAGAAATGGTAAATTATATGTAACCTGTCACTCACTTTGAGATGGAAATAATTTTTAACCTCCTTCCCTCAAATGAGCCCTCCCCTCCCCCTGTTTTATGGACGAGTACTGAGACAACAAAGGATGTATAGTTTTGGTCGTTTTCAATCACAAGCGATTATCGACTCGTTCAAGCACTGCACATTGGCTGTCGTAACAGATTGTGGTGAAGATCTGTTGATTCATTGCCTAAAGCCCAACCAACCTTGTGCAGCAGGCCTAGACTGGCTAAAGGGGTTATATTACATAGTTCTTCGAGAGAGACAGTCATCTGACCACGATTTGGAAAAAATTAAATAAGCACCCCCCTCGATTAAGTGCCTCCCTTGAATAAGCGCACCCAGCTTCTCCTAAATTTGAAAGAAGCAACCCGGGCACTAATTTGAGGATTTATGGTTTGTCTTTTTCAATTTCCTTCTTTTTTCTTAGCCACCAGGTTTCACTGCTCCTATTCCAGAGATGCCTGAAGCACCAGAATTACCTGATGAACTGAAAAACGAGTGCAAAGTTACGTAGCATGATCAAGTCCCTAATTTAAAAAGTGCAATATTGAGAGTGACAGTGGGAAATTATCCAAGTCACAGCTTTAAAATATGTTGCTGGTAGTTTTGGCAGCACTAAGCCATGCCTGCCTGTCTTGCTGGTTACACAGTCCAGGATTATCACCACCCACGAGGTCGACAAATACAGTTCACTGTTGACCTCCGAGTCAATACAATGCAAGTTACTGACAAGCCATTACGGCACAGGATGAAGAATTATTGATTTTATGGGTGTAAGGTGTAAAAGTTACTGATTGTGATAACAAAATATAACTGTTGAGTGCTATTCACATATAAGTACCATTATTTAATGTACCTGGAGTAGACTTGTGTTCATTAATAACTCAGCAAAATAGGTATTCCCCTTAAAATCACAATACTCTACTCAACTTTTTGGAGTAAGGAAAGCAAAATTTCCCCAATAGACAATTCTCCAACTTTGCCAAGATAACATAAAATTAAATAAATTCCTCTTTGAAAACTTAAATTCATCCATGGCTATGCAACCACTGGACATGACCATAATTCAAACCCCGGGAAGGGGACTCCCATATAAAAAGGATGGGGGTGCTCGTAGAAAATTTTGGAAAAAAGCCCTGAGGTACCAAGATCCTGCCTGGTGGGCATGGCTTGTTATCATCTTTTGTCATATTTTTGCAGCTCAATACCCCAAAAGGTACAGTAAAAGCTCCCACTGTGGGCCTTTTGAGACTGTTTTTTCAACCCCTAAAGGTGCAATGCACACCCCATCCCTTCTATATGGGAGTCCCCCNCCCCCCCCCTCCCAGGATTCAAACAGTCCCATGCCCCTGCTGAACAAATTTTCCAAGCCTCAATGCAAATGGGGTTATGGGTTTTGGCCTTGCACTGGCAACCATTTGTACTCTTCATTTCCCGCAATACATGTCTTGAGGAAGATGTGCATGGGGTTTTACAGCAGGATTGAATAAGTGGAAATACATAACAACGGGAATGAGACAGACATTGATTTCTGCGTAAAAACTTTGCAACGTTCCGCGAGTACAGATCAGTGTTCTACACTAATGTGCATTCATGTCCCTGCATCAGCATGCAACTTTCTACAGATGATTCATACTAGATACAAATTGACAAGTGGTCCAGGTTTGAGCCCTGACCAGGGACATCATGTTGTGTTCTTGGGCAAGACACTTTGCTCTCACAGTGTCTCTTGATCCAGAGCCATTACAAAGTATTTGAAACTTAGTAATTAGAGACCTCTGGGCAAAGTCGAGGATATGACTTTCAAAAACTGCAAAATTTCTGTGGCAAAAGCACTACATTCTTTGCAAAATTTTCAGTTTTTAAACCCAGGTCTCAAAAAGTATTCAATACTTGGGCTTCACACCTAAGGACATCTTGCTATGCACTTTCAATACAATAATATTTAGAAGAAATATTCTTGGAGATTAATCAAGACTATGCAAATGAAGCAATTACTGTAAACAAAGATTCCCCTGTACCTTACACAAACTTACTGCTGAACTGATTTCGTGTTGTGTTTGAGGGCTATCAATAGCCTGTGCGTTGGAGCACAAGTGGGAGTGGCATGGCCGTGAGTGCAGAATCGATGCCACAAAGCCACAAGACAAGAAAGTGAGCCTGCTCTGATCTCTGCAAATTTTTCATTTCCACTGCAGAAACCGCAGAAACAATAAGCCAGGTACATGTACATGTTAATGCTAATAACAGGTAGACTGTTGCAATTATTTTCCTTTAATGTTCAACCTCTTTGACACACTTGGGCAAATGTTGTCTACTGTTACATCATTACATTAATTTAGTGGTTAACACTTCAAACTCCAGACAAAAAATAAAACTCCAGACAAAACATAACATTTCTTACTTTGAAAAAAAAAAAGCAAAAGAAAGAAAGAAAGGAAAAAACCCAAACAAAACAGCTAAAAACTTAAAAAACAAAAGTTCCAGTCCTGTTAAATCAGATGTTAAACTCTATAGCCCATCAGGTTGAAGAGAAATGCCATGCAATGGCCGACAGCTTCTAGTCATCATCTTGCAAGGTCAGCTTGTCAAACTGGTATTCACCCAGTCCAGGGCCAACACGCTTCAAGTTGGTGACAAAATCAGAGAACTCCTTGATGGACTCCACCTGCTCCTCTAGGAAATTTCCCTCAATGAAATCCATCATCTAACCAAGAAATAACAAAGAGGATGGTTGGACTTACCCACAGAGTTTAGTTCAAATTGAAGACTAGTTAAAAAAAATCCTGGACAAGGTTGGAAAAGATTGCATACGAGTCAAGTGACCCACTTGGCAAGAGCTTATCCCAGTTTCTGTAGCATGAAGCGACTAGGAGTATCTCAATTCCCCCCTGGATGGGATGCTAGTTCATCGCAAGGTTATCCCCAGCATTATGTTTGCCAGTGCCCATTTATACACCTGGGTGGAGAGAGGCACTGTGAGAGTAAAGTGTCTTGCCCAAGAACACAACATAATGTCCTCGGGCAGGGCTCGAACCCGGACCACTCGATCTGGAGACGAGCGCACTAACCATGAGGCCACTGCGCCTCCACTTTGACAAGGTTGGACTTGGGTGCTAGTTTGTTTCCAAGAGCCAATACTGCATTGTGTATATTATTATGTAATTTTGTGAAGGAGTTCATAGAAGTTTTAGTTCTAATTTACACAGTTGTAGCCTGAAAATTGTACACCAGTAGACCCTCCCTACTGTACAGACTTATTCAAATCCAAAACGAATGTTCCCATTGTATCCCTTGGGAAACATCTGCCATTGCTGATTGGTTCATGGAACAACTCATTTAATTACATGATCAGGATCAAAATATCCCGCATAACATACTATGTGGGTGGCATAATGGCAATAGGGTACAAAATCCAACAGAACATCAATTTATGTGACGGAAATAGCACTGATAATAACATGTGGCACCCAGACCAAATTGTTTACGATGTCCAGCATGTGTGCGCCAAAGCGTGTCCCAAGATCATTCAAAATTGCATCAGTAATAGCAGGAAGACAGAGCTAAGCTAAAGAATGCAAGCAAACGACCAATTTCCTGACACGTCCAGTTTTATTTTCAGCATTACAACAAAATAAGAATGGTGATTACAAGCGAATAAGGAAATAATAATAAAAACGAATATGAGCTAGGCATTCTTTGCTTTGTCAATCCTTCTCGAAATAAACCCTTCAAAACTGAGCACAACAAAACAAAAGAGTGCAAGGATATATTTGAGATAATGTAGATATGTGAATATATGAACAAACATACATACACTAAATAAACAAAACAGTCAACTGAAATGAAGATCAAAAAAAAGGAAAAAAGCTAACTACAATGACACATCAACTTCTGGATTGTTTCTGTTTTCGGCAGTTTCACCTTTCATATAGATCCGTTGCCAGAATTGGACAGATTAACCTCGATGACCTTTTATTCAGATGTACTTTATTGAACCTAACTAGAACCGGAACTTAACTACTATCAAGAGTATGTTTATCAAGCTGAAATTCTCCAAGTCCTGGTCCAACTCGTTTCAGGTTTGACACAAGTTCTGATATCTCCTTGATGGATTCAACTTGCTCAGTGAGGAATTCGTCGAGGAAGTCTGACGTCTACAACAGGGAAGGGTTCACAGCATTGATCTCATTAATTTGGTGAATAAACGAAGTTTCACCAATTCCACACTTTGCTGGTTGAACACTGTTTAGCAATATTGCTACAATTTGTGAGTTGCATGAGTTGACACGCACTGAGGTTTCACTCATTTCCTTCAAATGAACACCATTTTAGAAAGAGAAAACAATAGACCTTTCTACCGATATGGCAGCCATTTTGAATTCTATTGATTTAAATAGCTATCATGGGATGTTTAGGGGGCAAATACATACTAATTTGCGCCCTGAGCATCTAGTAATAGCAATTTGAAACAATGGAATTTAAAATGGCCACCATATTGGTAGAAAGGTCTGTTTCCATATTTCTATCAAGCTATAGAAACAACAGGGGAAGATGGAGAATCACAAATGCAGGGGAACAACAACCCACAGGCAAGTATTTCCAGCTTCTAGTGAGTGATTTTTAACTGAGCATTTTCTGAATACAGTGGAACCTCGATTATCCAGACCTCGATTATCCGGACTATTCGATTATCCGGACTTTTTTCTCTGGTCCCAATTTTTTCATGAATATTAATTAGTTGTGATCTTGAAAACTCAAAGTCGCAAAAAGCCCAATAATCCTTTCAAAAGACTATTGAAACAGCGTATTATCCTGTGCGCTTTTCAAAATTCGCAAGTGCGCCACGACAAAGAAATATTCTGATGCATTCAGCTGATATCTGATTGGCTCAATTGTGTTGTTACCAAGGGAATTTCATGTTTGATTAGTTCCTGCCGCATGGGTTAGGTAAACACATGAGCGATCGATCATAAACTCAACTCAAAAACATGTCTACGAAGCGAAAGCGCACCGTTCTATCGATTAAAGATAAGCAGATAAATATTTCACGTTTGGATAAAGGAGAGAAAGGAACAAATTTAGCTCAAGAATTTGGCATCAG